GGCGCCCGCCACAACGCCAGGCTATTTTTTTTTTTAGTTGCAGACATCATTGTTGTTTTGGTGCCCGGGCTGGATTCAAACCCTCCACCTTAGGTGTATGTGGCTGGCGCCTTAGCCACTTGAGCCACAGGCACTGAGCGAAAATCAAACTTTTAAATATAAACCTTTGACCAACTCTAAGAATATACTTGAAGGCCCCGCCCAAAAAAACCCCCAACAATACCAGAACTAACATCCACAGTGCCCTCAGTATGTGCCAGACACTGCTGCTTTAAGCATGTCTACAAGTAGTAACTCAGGCAATCCTCCCCCAAAACTTACTAGGTTGATTTTACACATGAACAAACTTGAGGTCCAAAGAGGTTAAGTAATCTTTTCAAAGTCACAGTAAATAATGAAGCTGGGATTCAAATAGTCTAGTTTCAGAGTCTATGCTCCCAGCCATTAAATTATAAAGACAATTATCACAGCTTTTTTTTTTTTTTTTTTTTTTGCAGTTTTGGCCAGTGCCAGGCTTGAACCCGCCACCCCTGGTATATGGGGCTGACGCCCTACTCCTTGAGCCACAGGTGCCGCCCAGAATTCTTATTGACATTGAAAAAAAATTCTCGCTCTCAAATGGTTCATGAAAAATAAATGTAGATATAGAGGCAGTAAATAAAGCAAATGGGACAAAATGTTAATATGTGAATCAAGTAAAGAGTATATAGGTGTTCTATGCCCAATTTTTATTTCTTGCAACTTTAAGTTTGAAACTATGTCTAATTAGAAAATTAGAAAAAATTCCCCCAAATGTTTCAAAGGTTTACAAGTTGATGTCCATTGCTACTAAAACTAATTTAATGAGCCATACACAAACAAATGTATGAAAATGAGACAACTCTCAGTTATCTGAGAGTTGAATTCATCTATGCATTGTGAAGGAAAAAAACCAAATCAAACCAAGCTAGGCAAGGTGGTGTCTCAGCTATTTCCAAGGATGAGGCAGGAAGACTGCTCAAGGCCAGAAGTTCAAGGCCTGGGCAATCTGATAAGACCCTACCTTAAAACAAACAAAAAACCAAGCCCTTCCAATCACACAATGGAAAGATTTTACTTAGATAATACCTAAAGTTTACCCTAAGAGTCAAATGTTGTACCTAATGAAATGTAGGACCTCCATGAAGGAAAGTCTACAATATTAATTCCTATACATTGTCATTTTGTAGTTCTGTGTACATCTGGGCTATGCAATGTTGTTAAAAAATACTTAAGTCTACACAGGGCATGGTAGCTCCCTGGTGTAATCCTAGCACTCTGGGAGGCCGAGGCAGGTGAATTGCTTGAGATCACAAGTTTGAGACCTGCCTGAGCAAAAGCAAGACCGTTTCTACTAAAAATAGAAAAATTGACTCAGCGCCTGTGGTGCTAGCCATATACACCTAAGGTGGCGGGTTAGAATCCAGCCTGGGCCCACCAAACA